CCGATGACCTGTATAGTGCACTCTATGTAGTATTTTGTATTGTATTAATTGCAGACTGGGATTTTTAATTAATTTAAAGGTTTTTAAGCAAATCTGAGACCAGAAGTTTTGGTCTAAGCTGACTGATAAATCTGCTTCCCACTTTGCAATAGGAAGGGATATTGATTCATCTAATGTGGCAGCTTCTCCTCACCAGGTAGCTGATGGTTGTGATGGGAATGTAGGAGGGCGTGGCCGAGTACACGCTGAGACGCGCTGGTCGTCCCACCTGGAGGCCGGGACCCATCAGCGGGGTGTCGATGTAGAGATAACGTTGGTTTGGCGAGTAATAAGCAACCGCCGTCAGAGTCAGACTGCTCTGACTGGCTGCTGGGAGGGTGGAGTCAACCGTCTGAAACTGTCAACAACAGCAAGGGGAGACGTTAGCAACAAGTACACAACTAAACAATAAGTCCACACCATCATGACATGAAGTTAAAATTTAAAAGACAAATAAACAACAATGAGTGAAGAAGCAGCCAAGCAGACAAGACGGGAAAAAGTAAACAACGGAATACAAACAAAATAAATAAACAGTAAATAAAATAAGAAAACAAGGAAACAACACGTAAAAAAAACAAACTAAAGAAGCACACAGGAAACAGATCTGAGCAACACTTCCTGTCTTCTTTCTTTGGTCATTGTCACACAGTCACATGATCACGTGCCCACAAATCCAGCACGGCGAGTTTTACCTGTCCCTGAGACACACACATCTAAAGCACCTGCAACGCCCACCTTGAGAACAGCCCTGACTCCATCACCAGGTGTGTTGCAGATGAAGAAAGTGAGGCCGTTTGATTCGCTGGTGGAGCTGTCAGTGCAGGACATGGCCTCGAGGTCCCTCCCCTGTCTGAACAGCTCATTCTCCACCAGACTGACCTGAACACCTCTCACTGGCTTGTCCATGTGATCCTTCACCTGCACCTGTAGAGACACGGTGAAACAGCAACAATGGACAAACTGCTTTAAACCCGAGGAGTGTTACAGAGATGTATTTGTGTTAGTTGCAGCTGTCTCAGAGAAGATTAATGGATGTAGGACATGTGCAGAGGAGGATGCTGTGATGGGAGGAGGTGGATGATCCTCTGTGGCCACTCCTAAAAGAAGAAGAAGCTGCAGCAACGTCTCTTCTCGAGTGCTAGTTATTCGAGTATGTAAACATTTCTGTTGCTGGGATCTTCAACATAATGAAAGATGTCAGATGATCCTTCTGTGAAGTAGGTGCCATCACAGCAATGTGTCTTTGTAATCATCTGTTTGTTAAATCTGATGTAATTCATCATCTCCAGGTCAATATGTTTCCCAAAGACAACCAAACGCAAAAGGTTAAAAATGTAATGTCCAGCAGAACCCAGGGGAAAAAGGGGACTGGAATTACAGGTTAGGACCAAAGTTCCCAATGAAAGATGTGTTTGAAACTCATGCAAGGCTCATGTCTCATGACAGAAAGAACGAGATCGCGGATACAAGCGGCGGAAATGAGCTTCCTCAGAAGGGTGGCTGGCCTCTCCCTTGGGGATAGGTTGAGGAGTTCAGCCATCCGGGAGGGGCTCAGAGTAGAGCCGCTGCTGCTCCACATCGAAAGGAGCCAGCTGAGGTGGTTTGGGCATCTGACAAGGATGCCTCCTGGGTGAGGCCCCGGGGCAGATCCAGGACACGCTGGAGAGATTATATCTCTCGGCTGGCCTGGGAACGCCTTGGTGTTCCCCTGGACAACCTGGAGGAGGTGGCTGGGGAGAGGGAGGTCTGGGCTTCTCTGCTTAGGCTGCTGCCCC